TCAGTAACGTCTCCATGTTCGGCATGGCATGGGCAGGCAGGGAGATGAAGCATCTGTCAATCGTGGACTCGGACATGGTAGCGATGTTCCTGTGCGTGGTCGACAGCGCGGTGATCTCGATCAGGTCCTTGAAGATGTTGCGCCAGTAGACGGGCTGGCACTGGCATCGCTGAGCGGCCGCGGTGTCGGAGTCGACGGGGGAGTTGAGGCTCTTGGGCGGGAACTCGGACACGTTGAAGTCCCCGAGCAGAACGAGAAGTCGCGCATGTGGTCGTTCATCAGCATGGGCACGGAGCCGTTGTAGATGTTGCTGTATGTCTCGGCGGTCCATGGGCGAGAGGTCGTGAATGTGGATGTTCAATGGTCACATCATGGCGCCTTTGAGCATCGGTGACTCGGAGCCAAGCCGCTCGCCCTGGAACGATGACTTCGAACTCACGAAGTGGTCGTTCTCCGGGTGGGCGGGATCGCTCTGCCTTGTCGAAGGGCAGCAAGAAGCCAATCCCGCCTGCGGTCGTGGAGCATTGCGGCGGCTCGTTGACGGCGTCGCGGTTCAGCTCCAACTGTGAGTGGAAGGCCAGGTAGGCATGCTCGGTCGACTCGGCCAGGTGCAGGAGGTCCTCGCATGCGCCGCGCGTCTCCTGCAAGGCCAGCACCGCTCGTTGACGAAGGAGGGGAAGCAGATGACGGCGCTTGGCGTGCCTGCGTACATCAGAGCGCCCCAGCAATGCCTGAGTGTTCCAGTATGCGATGCTCAGTCCTTTTTTAGCCGGTTTTTCCACCCATGGGGACCACACGCCGTCAAAGCCACCGCGCTGCTGCGAGTGGATCGGCAAAGGCGGCGGCAAACTCGGCGGCGATGTCTTTCTGCAGCGTGTCATCGATGTTGTTAGCCACAGCAGTATCAGCCCAGCGCAGAACAGCGGCTTGGTCGGGAGACGACCCCACCAGGATCTGGACGAGAACGTCGCCCTTGACAGAGATGTATCCTGCGGACCTGTGCACTCTGATGTCGGTGGTGCCGGCCTTGGCCTGTAGGATCTTGGCGAGCTTCTTGATCTGGACTTCGCGCCTGACCATCTTGGGGCTTTTGTCACCACTAACATATAGAGGGTAAGTAGTCCCAGCCACGACGATGTTGAAGTCGCACCAGTCGTTGCCCACGCGGAGGTCGTCGCATAGCTTTTTCGCGCGGGGCTCCGCCAGCAGAGCGCCGCCCGTGACGGAGAAGGAGCGGCGACGTTGAGGACCTGTTGTGTTGAAAGCGATCTGGGCCCCAGTAACTGCTGCAGCTCGAAACCAGTCTGCCAAAGCGGGTAGTACGTCTGCCTCCACCATGGGCACGGAGCAGCCGATCCAGAACGCGACGGGGTCGGGCTCGCGGCCCCATGAACCCACGCTGGTAGCGTTGATTGATGGTGCACGAGCCTCGGCCTCTGAAACGATGGCCTCCAACTTTGCAACTGATGCCTTGAGCTCGGCGTTGGCCACCTCGGCTTTGCCCATGCGCTGCTTGACCATGAAGACCTCGCGTTCGGTGCGCTCGTTCTTCTGCGTGAGGTCCTTTGCGATGTCGGCAACCGATTCGGGGAATTTGGCGCTGGCAGCATCACGCGCGCTTTTGGCCGTGGATTCGAAGGTCGAAGCCGCTGCTTGTACTTGTGCGGCGAGAACTTCTTCGAGCTGCTTGCGTACGTGAGCAGGAAGGGCCTCAGCGCCGAGCTTGGCGGCGGATGCGGCCCGCGGGTCGCCTCCCTTGGCGCGGGCGTCGGCGGCACAAGCCGATGCGGTTCTCCTGGCTTCTCCCCCCATGGGTGCGAGAATGAGAGTGGGCCCGCGCCAGCCTGCACAGGTATGAGCGCGTGGATATGTAGGAATATGGATGCCGCCAGCGTCGTGGGCACGACGAGACAAAACGTTGTCCTGCACTGCCCCTGGACCGAGGGCCTCCGCTTCCCGCCGAGGGGGCGAAATCATCTTGAGCCAAAACGGCTACGGAGGAGGAGGAGGAGGAGGGAGGAGGAGGAGGTGCTCGTGTTCCAAGTCTTGGCCGGCTTGGAACACGAGCACCTCCTCCTCCTCCATCCTCCTCCTGTTGTGGACAGGGATCCCGCTCTTCACCCGCTCGTTCCCTGCAACACCTCCTCCTCCTCCTCCTCCTCCTCCTCCATGTCCCCATGCTCCTCCTGACTTTCTGCAGCGGCCAGACCGCATTGCATAGTATCTTATCATGCCTCCTTCTTCCTGCACAGCGGCCAGACAACTTAGCATTGTGTATTATATTCTTCCTCGAGCAATATCGCCCTGCGCGTTGCAGCGGCTGGGCCACCTCCGTCGCTGCAGCGGCCGGACCCCTTGTTGCTTCGCGCCCCTGCGCGCGACAGCGGCTTGACCGCTAAATTTTTTCTGATTGATTTGCGCAAAGTGTGCATCGCCCTTGGGAGTCAAAGCGGCCTGCCCGCTCGCTGCTTGCACGCAGCAGAGGAGGGAGAAGAGGATGAAGAGGAGGAGGAGGATGAGGAGGAGAAGGAGGAGGAGGAACATGAGCAGGACCGATAGGCCACGACGCGAGACCAGGGCCCGCGATAGGTCACAACTTGAGCCAAGCCGACTACGGAGACGCGGTGGCGATGGCGTTCATGGCTGGCGGTTCGAAAAGTGCAAAGCAAAACTGTTGGCCCGCTGAGGAGGAGTGAGAGGAGGGGGAGGAAGAGAAGGAGGAGGAAGAGAAACTACGTTCGAAAAGTGCAAAGCAAAGCGGTCGGCCCGCTGAGGAGGAGGAGGAGGAGGAAGAGGAGGAGGAGAGAGGGGGGAGGAGGAGGCGGAGGGGGGAGGGGGGGGGGGGGGGGGGCAACGCGGGGGGGGGGGAACGGCGGGATCCAGACAACGCCCAAACAACACCTAACCAACACGGAGACAACGCCCAGACAACACACGGCACCCCCTCCGACTCCGCCCCCTCCTCCTCCTCCTCCTACTCCGCCTCCCCCCCCTCCTACTCCGCCTCCTCCCCTCAGGGCGGCGCCAGACGACGCCAGACAACACCAGACAACAAACAACAACAACAACAACAACAACAACAACAACAACAACAACAACAACAACAACAACAAACAACAACAACAAACAGCAGCAAACAACAACAAACAACATGTGTGTTTTCCCCACATCCAAAGTGGGGTTCTTGTTTTCTCTGGACACCCCGCGCAGGAACCTCCTCACCTCACCCCCTCTCCTCTTCTGTCTTCGTGCGCTCACTCGCTCACTCACTAGCTCACTCACTCACTCACTCACTGACTCATCAGCACTTTCTCACTCACACGCTCATGAACTCACATATGATTATGATGATGATGATTATGATGAATGTGCGCGTGAGAGAGTGCGATGATCATCATCATCACCAGTCAGTCAGTCACTCACTCCCTCACTCATTCACTCACTCGCCTTGGGCCTCGTCTGTGAGCGACTTGCGAGGAAGACTCAAGCGGGAGCGCCCTCCCTAGGGGGCCCGCGGATCATGTTACTAACCCGAGGAAGTCTCAAGCGGGAACCCCCTCCCTATGGGGCCCGCGGATCGCGTTACTAATCCGAGCGGGTCATCCAATTCCCGTAACTGTCGCCACTTTTGGGCTCTCGCGCTGCCAGAACGCCATTCCCAGGCGGATCATGTTACGAACCCGAGGAAGTCTCAAGCGGGAACCCCCTCCCTATGGGGCCCGCGGATCATGTTACTAATCCGAGCGGGTCATCCAATTCCCGTAACTGTCGCCAATTTTGGGCTCTCGCGCTGCCAGAACGCCAGTCCTAGGCGGATCGGGTTACTAACTCGAGGAATTCTCAAGCGGGAGCCCCGTCCCCATGGGGCCCGCGGATCATGTTACTAATCCGAGCGGGTCATCCAATTCCCGTAACTGTTTCCACTTTTGGGCTTTCGCGCTGCCAGAACGCCACTCCCAGGCCACATTTTGAATGCCCGGAGCCAACTGCAGGCCATTTCGTGTTCGTCGTGCTCCCAGAACACCATTCCCGGGCCACATTTTGAATGCCCGGAGCCAACTGTAAGCCACTTCGTGTTCTTCGCGTTCCCAGAACACAACTCCCGGGCAACATTCTGAACGTTCGGAGCTAACTGTAGGCCACTTTGTGTTCGTCGTGCTCCCAGAGCGCCATTCCCGGCATGCATCCACTGGGGCGCACCCCTGCGCGCTTCCTCTGGGTCGTGCCTCCGCACGTTTCCGCTGGGACGCACCCTGCGCGTTTCCTCTGGGTCGCGTTCGGCGCGTGCCCCCTGGGACGCACCCGATGATGATGATGACGAGGTCGGGGGCAACGTAGGGGGCGGGGGGAGGGCCCGCGCCAGGGGAAAAAGAAATATACGCAGAAGAGACAACCAGGACGCCTCGCCAACCACGAGGACGGCGGTGATGGCTTTTCCCAGACTCGCCCAGAGGATTCTATGCGGGGCCCTTCCGTCGGAGTAATTTTGCTGTTTTCGCGCAGTCTGGCGTCGGCTGGCGCCGCGGGCGCCCGGCCGACGCAAGACGACCAAAAAACAGCAACAACAACAACAAACACATACAACAAAAAAACACCAACACACAACAAAAATAAGGCACACAAAAACAACACATAACAACAAGAAACAACATCCAGACAACATCCAGTCAACATCCAGGCAACGTTCAACTGACACGCGACGTGGTAGACGCGGAGGAAGCACGGGAGAGACGCGGGGGGGCACGGGAGGGGCACGGGAGGAGGGGCAGGAGGGGGGCGAGGCAGGAAGGGGCAGGAGGGGCAGGGGGAGGAAGGGCAGGAGGGGCAGGAGGGACACGGAACTCATCGAACTCCGCAATCGGCCACCCGCCGAAAATCCTCCGCAGCGTCTGGTCGCGCTCCCTGCACGTGCCACGCGTGATGGCCGTGCCGCCATGGCTGGATTTACTGCCCTTTGCAAGCGGATCCGCATCCTTCTAACGCACGGAGAATGTCGGCTC